AGGTATGGGAGTTACGACCATAACTCCATAAGTATTAGAGTAGTGAGAGTTATGGAGATAATGGAGAAGAGTAGTGGGTATTACTCATTTGGTGATTATGGACATCCACTATAATTATATTTTATAACAGTATAAAATATTTTAAATTAAATTATTTGCAATATTAAATATGAATTATTCTTCTTAAAACATACTGTATGAAATAGCTCGGTGACATAAACGGGAGAAAAAGGAGCATAACATAAACAGTAAATATTTATCTATTGATGTGACCAATGAAAGACTCCAATTCCTTCCTTGTCACGCCGCCTTCCACCGCCGACTTCCGAATAGCCACTCCTAAATCCGCCGCTCTTTTACGAATCTCGTTTCCTTCATTGCTCGACACCAGTGTTTTCACTGCTCTTTCAACAGTATTTGATGTTACAACTTCATTTCTATGTTCCCAGTTGTTCATAAGAATTCCAACTTTCAGAAATTTCGTTATTAAAATGCTATTTCTTGGCTGATCAGAATGCATGGGCCATGCAATAATAGGAACTCCTGTTGAAAGACTCTCCATGCATGAATTCCATCCACAATGACTCATAAATCCACCGGTTGAAAAATGTCCTAATATCTCCAATTGTGGTGCCCAATCTCTTACTATTATTCCTTTATTCTTAATTCTTTCTTCATACCCATTTGGAAGTTCAAATTTTCTCACGTCTCCTGAAAAAATATCTCCTTTATCGGCATCTCTCAATGCCCAAATGAACTTTGTGTCACTTCTTTCTAGTCCTATACAGAGCTCTTTGATTTGTTCATCAGTTAATGAAGTTGTTGTTCCAAACGAAATAAAGATGACAGATTTTGGAGATTGTTTATCAAGCCATGTCAAGCATTTGTGACGTTGCCCGATTGATGAATTGTTGCTTGAAGTGCTAGTCATCACTGGATTGAATGGACCTATAGCCCAGTGCATTTTGTTTCTTTTGATTGGTTCTTTTTCTAGTAAATTCATGAATTTTCCTTCTATGACTCTGCTTGTGTTGTAAATCTTTCCAGAGTCAGAATTTGAGTATTTCCTTTGTGCAGCCATGAAATCCATGAACTCTGACGTAAAAC